TATTACACAAACACACACATGTTCAGATTCTCAAAAAGAAGAAACCATATTATCAATTTTATGTCATCATAAGAGGTTATGATGATCCAGACTAAATTTTTAATTTCAAAGATGTCCATAAAATTATTTTGAAAAAAAATATCAGTTCTTTTAAGTGTGCTATGTTTAGATTCCTCTATTTAATCTGAAAAATGTGCTTGACATTCATGTGCCCAGAAAGTATTGGGGAAAAGAAAGAAAAATGATTGCAATTGTTTTTTAATGTTTACATATTACTAAAATTATCACTTTTTTTTGGAAGGGTGAACCAGGAAAACCAGGAGAACAAGGCTTGATGGCAAGTATCTCGATTTATTTTATTCTATATAAAAATAATGGAAACCCAGGTTATTAAAATCTATGGCCAAGTTTATATGACAATACATCTGTTAAATGAGCAGAAAGTGAAAATTCATAAAAGTTAAAAGCTATATGGTCTATCTGCTGCATGCTAAGGGTCTCAACACATCTACAGAAATGATGCTGGAGAAAAAGAAGATTGCAGGTGGAGAAAGTGGTAGAAAGATGCTGCAGAAGATTAAGGGAGAAGGCAATTGAAGCAGCTCTGTTGTAAGGGAGATAAATTCAAGAGTATGCTGTTTAGTTTAAATAGAAACATGTTTTCAAAGGGTTCAGGTGTGACGGTGAATTAGGGTAGCAAACTTTGACAGTACTTCAAGGAGTGTTTCTGTTGCTGAAAAGCTCTACACAGAGAGAAACATTTTAAGACATTTTTTAAAATCTCTCATTTTAAGACAGGTCATGCAATGATCTCACATGGACTTGTATAGACATGTGGAACCCAGTTCCTCATGAGTTGTTTATTCTTTGCCAGTAGAAAAGTCAGGTCAGCATGCTGATCCTTGAAGAGTGAAATGCCTTCAGCCACCTCTCCCTGACTCTGTCTTTCAAGCTGCTCTTCTAGCCCACTTTACATGGGGAAATGTGGTTGATGCTCTAGTTACCCCAGTGTCAAAGGACAATGGGTACCCATCCCAGCTGCAGAATGGGTAGACCCAAAAACCGCACCAGGAGCTGGCAGGTGATCATAATAAGCTTGATAGGGTCCAAGCTATATGATGGGTGGCTCATAGTGTACAGTTAATCAGCGTATAAAATTTATTTTAAAAAATCCTTAGCTAGGCCCTGGTAAAACTAATGCACTGGAGAACAACAGTGTGTGGGGAATGGAAGCCAGCATGGGAATGTGGAAGGTCAAAGGCTTCCCCCTCAGAGCTTTCAACAGCACTCTCCCCGGTGAGCAGCACACCCACTCAGCTGCCTTTGTGAGCAAGAGCTCTGATGAAATGAAAGCACCCTAGGATCAAATCGCACCCGCTGCCTGGAAATTCCATTCTTGACCTAAAATATCAAGATTGATATTTGATACAGATTATTTTTGGTGCCATTATGTATTTTTTTTTAAAAAAAGCAAATAAAATGAAAGAAAAAAGAAATGAAAAATCACATCTGTCACCAGTGATAACTACATAGAAGTGTAGCATTAACACCTGTGTTATGGAGTCACAGAGTGTGAAGGATTCTTGCAAGACTGTATGATATAAAATTTGGAATTGCTTTAAACAATTGAATCTATGATTTTTTTTTATTCTGGTAAAATGGTCAAAACATATTTCTCCCTTCCATTCTTACGTCACAACCTCAAGAGTTTGGATTGTTTCCAGCCTACCCAGAAATTATCATTGGCACTGACTGGCTTTCCTGATGCCCAGCCCTGCATCCCAATATGCAATATCCTAGAATAAAATGGATATTTCTTAAAAACAATATTCTTATCTTTCTTGAATTATATATGCTCTCAAGGATATACTACTATATGAATAACAACATAATCTCATTTTTCTACAATTCCTTGTTTCTTGGATTTTTGGTGCTAGGGATTAAACCCAGGTTCCTGTATGCTGAACATGAACCCTACCACTGAAATACACTCAATTCTCAGACAGATATCATTAAATATAAATGTTTAACCCAGCCCTAAATGAACTGTGTTAATATCTTAGTGTACTCAGATTTCCTATTT